GGGGGGGGGGGGGGGGGGGGGGGGGGGGGGGGTGGCATGTACATACGAGACGTCAGTTTGATCGCCTTCGACTGTACAGTGTGCGCATGCCTTCCAGTGGACGACCATACGTTGTAGGCGTTCAAGGTCGCCATCGCCGTAGCTTGTTGCCGTTCGCAGTGGTGGCGTCCACGTTTCTTCACGGAGGCGGGATATCATCGTTCCACGTGGCGGTGTTTGCGGAGTTTTGGCGGTTGACGTGGGTTCCGGTGTCGTCGATGGAAGAGGCGTTCGGGATGGTTATTGACGGTGTTGTCAGGGGTCGTGCTTTAACGATAGATGAGAGGACGGCTTTCGCTGCGGCGGTGAATGTCGTCCTCTATCATTGTCAGTTGGAGAGAACCGCGGGAAAGATGAAAGCAGCTGCTTGCGCGCGACGGAAGATGACGGCACTAGCGAGCAGCGGTGAAGGCTTGGACCTGGGAGCACTTTCGGACGCCGTCCTCCAGGTGTGCTACGCGTTGGGGTGCGGCGCCTTTCCGAGGGCGACTCCAAGATGGTGGATGAAGCGGCGGACGGGAGGAACATGGGAGGACCTGTGCCAAAGCGACGACACCACCGACGACTACTTCAGAGACAAGCTCCAAATGTCGCCACGTGTCTTCCGCGAAATCGCGGAAACGCTTTCTCCATACCTGCAACGGCGTGTGACGTTTTACAGAGTGCCTTTGCAGCCGGATCACATCGTGGCGTACGCTCTTTATAGGTGGGCGTCGGGTGAGACCTACGACAACGGAACGTGCAGCTTCGACATCGGGAGGGCTTCTGGCATCACGGCGGTCCGGGACGTTACCGCTGCCTTGCTTGCTGCGTACCCGGACAAGATTTCGTGGCCCACTGGCTTGCAGAAGGCGGTCGTGTTGCGCGTGTTTGCAGACAAGGGATTTCCAAATTGTCACGAGTGCATCGACTGCACCCACATCTACGTGGACAAACCCGCCAACGCGAACGGGGAGGACTACTATGATCGGAAGAGGCGATTCTCTGTGCAGGCGCAGGTTGTCGTCGACATGAATTTGCGTGTGCTGGACGTCTTCGTCGGTTACCCTGGCAGCGTGCATGACATGAGGATGTTACATTTATCCAGTTTGTGGGAGCGTGCGGAGTCTGGACAACTTTTCACTGGCCCGCATGTCATGCTGTCGTTCGGTGTCCAAACAAATGGATACTTGCTCGGCGACAACGGCTATCCCCATTCGGAATGGATTGTCGTCTGTATGGAGGTCTCGTGCAGCATCCCACGGAGGCACGGTTCGACAACAAGCAAAAGACGGCCAGGGGAGCGGTAGAGAGGGCGTTTGGAAGATTGAAGGGCATGTGGAGGTTATTCCTGTGCAAGCACAAGTGCAACATGGACACGTTGCCGCAACAGTTCATCGCGGTGTGCATCCTCCACAACATACTGATTGATGCAGGCATTCCCTTTGACGACAACCTGTTGTGGGAGGTCGGTCCGGATGGCGTCCGACGCAGGGTGGATCTGGGCATGCATGCGCCGTTGCGTCCTGTTTGCATGGAGTCGTCGACCGGGGACGCGCTCATTTTGTGGGATGCGTTGGCAGAGAGGATGGGTGCGCAGTGAGGATGGTTGGTTGTGGGAGTGGAGAGTTGAAGACGGTCGTGATGCGGCGATACATCGGAGCACACTTAAGTGGGGAGGCACCGAAGAGATGATGCACCAGGAACGATAGGGAGGCACGCCCTCCCGTATCCACTGAAGGTGGTCAGAGAACACGGCACTGAAGCCCTCCCAGTGTGCCGCCGTCCGGAAGTTTGTTTGGTCGTCGTCAAGCACAATGTGCTTTCTTCCCCGGGGTTGTTCGGAGCGCTCATCCGGCAGGTTGTCGTCTTCCCGTTAGCGTGTAGCAGTTGTGCCGTAGATGGTCGATCCTCACTATCGTTTTTTGCACAGTATTTCCATTTTGTCGTCAAGTATGTAGCAGTGCTGTTTCAGCGGCACAAGTGGTTAACTGAACCTTAGTCGAAGTGAGTGTCTGTCGTTTTCGTGGTAATCGGTGGCGTGCGGAACTCGTAGTTGTTGTTCCGCAGAGTAGTGGTGAAGATTGAGTTTGGTGGTAGGTTTAATGAAGGGAAGTCGTTGGTTGCGCAGTTGAGGGTTTAGCGGGGGGTGAGGGGGTCTACGAAGGACGACGATTGAGCTGCCATCTACTTTTATTACGAACTGAACTCGTTGGAAACCTTGGAAGGCTTCCCTTTATTCTTGATGATCTTCTTTCGTTGAATGTTGTTGCGATGTGGAATGCAGTCTTCATTTTGCAATGTGTTTTCGTTCAGGATGTTTTTATAAGCTTGTGTCACGTTTTTCCGCTTACGCCAGAGCTTGTGTGTCCGTGTGTGTGTGTGTGTGTGTGTGTGTGTGTGTGTGTGTGTGTGTGTGTGTG